ATGGGTCTTACTCAGTTACCCTCTGCTTGGTACTATAGGCATGAGGCTGCTCATGGTGGCCATATCGTCTCAGTATTATACTACTTACAAGTACCTTAGCATGACAGCTCCGCAGGATTAATATCCGGAAAAGTTTCTCTGCATATTATGAAATGCGTACCGCAGATTGCGTGTGAACATATGTAAATAGCATCATGAACAACTGGTATAGTTTGGATAGCAAATTCGCCCAAGGAAATAGACCGACACACATGTAGATAACTACTCACACACTTGTTCGTTTGTCTGCTGGCCTAATACCACGGCAGAGCCAATGTGACGAACGAGTCTTTTGTACACACACGGGGGCCCAGTTGTTTGCTAACCACCGTCGTAAAACGCGGGTGTTATTTGACTTCTGCAAATGCTCCGAAATTTTCACCTGCAGCTGACGCTCTGTCATACCCTTGAGTATGGACTGCCCGCTGTTTATCCTCTTTCCAAATTTGAATGCAACTTGATTGAGAAAGTTCAGCGGAGAGGATCTAAATCCGTTCTGGAGTTACGAAACCTGCCTTACTCGCATCGTTTCCAGTGCCTGAAATTATTCTCTCTAGCCTACCGTCGATATCGCGGGGATTTGATTTTAACACGGCGTATCGTTAGAGATGAACTTGGAGTTGAATTGCAGAATTCCTTTCCACTCAGTTCTTTCAGTTTGACTCGGGATCACCATTGGAAATTGTTTAAACAAAGGAGACTTTGGGTCCGTTGTGACGTCACTCTGTCTACCAGAGTAGTGAACGAATGGAATAATCTACCTGTATATGTTGTTGATGCGCAGTCGGAGGAATGTTTCAAACCTCAATTGGATTCTTACCTGTTGAGTAAACTCGGATCTTGTTGCTTTTTGTGTCAATGCAGGGGTTCCATTGGTACAGACTTGCAATGTCCACCTTGATCCCTGTGACGAACGGGAGGTGATGGAGCTGACAAAGGATTTTTCCTTCTGCTCTCTACATTCCAATGATCCAATGATCCAAATACCCAGGTAGTCCGCCTTGCGACTACATGCAAATTGGTAAAGGACGTGTGACCGGTTGGACAGAGGTACTGTTGGTCTAACAGACGGTGTAGGGATGCGAGTCGTTGTGTAGAGTAATACCGGTTCTGCCGCGGGGTACACATGTGCCACTGCGGATTTCAAACCTCGTTGAAATACTTGGCTTATATCATCCCCCTTAAACGGTGACTACAGCATTAATTTCAATTTCAGTATGGTGGATGTTTTCCCTTCTGCTATCTGGTCGCTAACTTGAGTGAGGGAAGCAGGCGGGTACCCGTTTTCTGTCAGACTGTTGGTGAGCAGTTGCGTCTTCTGTTCGAGCGTGTCAGGATTGAATATTTTCCTCGCTCTATCAAACAGAGTCGGCACCAGGCCCTGTTTTTAGGGTTTTGGGACAAAGGTATGAAAGTACTGGCCCTTCCATGTGGGTTTGCGGTAGACCGATCGACGTATCGATCCATCATTCCTGCTTTCTACCAATATGTCCAAGTACGGCAAATCACCATTCTACTCAAGTTCCGTTGTCACCGTGGTGTTTTAGTGCAGACTAGTTAATGTTATTCAGTTGAGTAAGATGAGCATCTTGATTACTTACAAGTAACCCGACCATCATCATATTTTGTCAGCCGTGACGTCTTGGTTACATCACTGCACGTCCGAGGACCTAACTGATTTTTGAACCCATTAAGAACGGGAATACAAAGATAGTTCACGGCATGTACGAAGTGATGCACAATGCATATGAAGCGTTGTATATTTCTTCGTAACGAGATGAGGTACTGTTGATGCTGTTGCGAGTACACAAATACAGAATACTATCGAACACTGTTTTCTACCTGTTAGATTTGTGAGGTATGCAAATTCACAGGTTGAAAGCATGGGACACCATAAGATTAAGGCTTATAAGGAAAACGTTTATGTGAAAATGTCAACGAGATCACAATGTACGTAGCAATTAATTATCACATAATGCGCTTGATATAACAGGAAATACATGCAGTACAATAAAGCAACTACTAAAATAAAATGAGCTGCTTCCGATTAAACGGAATGTTATGATGTTTTTGGTGGAGAATGTACATTTTCCAATAAATCAACGATAAGGCTATCGATGAATGCTATCGGCTTTGGAATGCTACATCTCCAACTAAGCACTCGATATGCTACTTGTATGCTAGTCATTCGGTTCGTAGCTGCCATAGATTATTCCCTGTTTGAATGAAATGTGAATAGCCGAAGTGAACTAAATGAAGTCGGTGAGGACTATTCGCCAGACCGATGGATATTTCGCATGAAAACCCACATGTACGTAAATGGATTGAGTCTGGTCGGCTTGTGAAAGTACCTGCTAGTGTATCAATGGATATGTGTGGTCAGACTTTATGTAATTGTTAATCTCCAATGAGTGTTGGGTGCTGCCAATGGCGCGTTTATTTAACACGTTAGCCAGAGGTGAGGAACACCTCATCTACTGTGCCGCAATACTTAGAAAAAAGGAGAAAAAACATCCTACTGGTGCAAGCCGGCTGAGCTACCGGTAACGGATGGGCATCGTTCCGGTAAGCTACCAGCCGGCTCCTATGCATCAAAAAGAAAAATACTGTGCAAAATTATAAAATGCTAAACACTGAGATCGTGGTTGGAGGGTGAGGCTAAGAGGGATGGGGTGGGACAAAGAAACTCGCAGCACGAACGCCACTGAGGTCGGCTCCTAGCCATATCAGCAAGTGTGTCCAACCAAACGTGTTCATCGTCTTTCGTATCCCAACCAGGGAGCCGAGACACTCCAACCGAGGCCAGCTCAGAAGTGAGGGCCTTCATTCCTCTGGACCAAGTCATCGCATGGCCACCTCTCCTCTTCTTCCATGCACACCCCCGGCGCGCAAACAACGCACGTCGTGGGAGTCGGTGGGTTGGAATGCGTAACACGTGGCCAAGCCATCGGAGCCTGGTGCGTAAAATAACGGTCCTGAGCGGTTCAGTTCCTTTTCCTGTGCCGTAAACAAGGCGTCGAACCCGCTCGTTGCTCACGCGGTGTTCCCACCAGATGTGAGCTAAATTGCGAAGGCACCGGTGGTCGAACGTAACTAGCCTCTTCAGGTCCGCTGCTTTAAGCGGCCAGGTTTCACAACTGTACAGTAGGGTCGAACGTACTGCTGCATTGTACACTCTACCCTTCAGGGCGAGAGTGATGTCCCGCCGGCGCCATAAGTGGCGAAGATTAACAAAAGCGCCTCAAGCTTTTGCTATACGGTGCGTGATCTCATCTTCAATCCCACGGGCGCTGATACAACTTCCTAGATAGTTGGATTTTTGAACGACTTCTAGCTGATCCCCACCAACGGTTAGCGTAGGAGGTGGTCCAGATCAATCTTGGAGGAACGCTTTGCACTTCGATGGTGCGAAGCAAAGCCCGAAGTGACGGACAGCCAGTGCTAAGCTGTCCAGTGCCGCTTGGCACGTCTGTGAGCTGTCACAGATTAGGGAAATATCATCAGCATACTCTAAGTCAAGAAGTCCTTCCCCTGGGAGCAGATCCACAACTTCTAAGTCGTATCCTGTGAACGCGATTTCCATGACTTCGTCAACAGCGAAGTTAAAGAGAAAAGGTGACAGCGGGCATCCTTGTCTCACGCCGCTGGAGATATTAAAGGGCGACGACAACTTGCCGTAAGCCCTCACTCTGCCCGAGCTACGAGCGTATAATGCTCGGATAATATTCACATATTTCTCAGGTACACCTTTCCTGAGTAGACAGTCCCAAAGTGCAAGTCTATCCACCGAATCGAATGCACCTTTGATATCGAGGAACACGACAACGGTGGGCCGCCAATATATGTGACGGTGCTCCAACAAATGACGCAAGGTGAAGATGTGGTCAATGCAGCCGCGACCTCGACGAAACCCGCCAATGGCGCTTACCTGCGACTGTAGAATCTAATTCCCTGATTTATTCACTTTATAAAACGGACTGTTTACAAGCAACACATTGAGACTAAGCAGCGATAATAGATGAATTCTAAAACTCATTACTATCGAATATGACGCAAGTGCTTAAGAATGTTTGGCCTGAGACTACTGCAAATGTTTTCGGTACTTGGTAAGCTGATTCTAAGGGGCGCGAAAAAAGTTGAAAGAAGGAAATTGATGGAATAATGTTTCGTTCCGCTCTGTAAAGTGGGGAGATTCACGCTCAGGGAAGTACTCGAAAACCGTTTCATTTACTTGGGGCTTTAATCTGTAACGACAACCATAATCTTACAAGAGCTTGTTCGATGCCGCTGAGTCAGGAGTCACCGTGCTGTTCGATGTTACCGCTGCTTAGTTGTGATTTGCTAATTTTCATTTTTCTTGTTGCGTCACAGAGAAAAATGCCATGTCTAACTATGTCAAGTTATGTCAGTAAATACTGAGTGGTTGAGAGTGGTTAAGAAAGCTACAAATTTAGAAAAAGTTTGTTGTGCTTATGTGGGGGTTCAAACAAGCATTTTCAGCCACTTATTGTTAAGTCATTTCCAACTGTTGTAATTTTAATACCATTTTGTTATCCCCGCGAGTACATTTTGGCTATGTTTTGTGCTACCACACGAACACGCTGAGCATTTTGCGTCATCATTGTGAAACGACCACTGGTAAATGAAGTCACTCCTTCCTTTCACACATTTCTGTAGTGCAACGATTTGGTATCAATACCTGCGTGCAACACCTGGTGTTATGAGTGCATTCCTTCTTCATTTGATTCAACCTCATCATTTTAGGTGGTAGGAACCTTATGGGGGATAGAATAGACATTTTTGTTACGGAAAGGACATATGTAGTATTTAAATAGTTTAACGTAGATCCCACGCAATCCGTTTTGATTGAGCCACATGCAGAACGTCATCTGCAAAGGAATACTTCGATACCCCATTCGGATGGGATTACTCAGCAACCAGTTGAGCAGAAGTGAGCCTTCTCAGCTTCCCGTTCGTCTTTTGTGTTGCGAGGTAGCCAGCGTCAGCTTTTCATCTGGATGAGCACCGGTTTGTTTGAATGTAAGGATACGCCACGCATCTGCCAAACATCGAGACTGAAAGAGTAGAAAGGAAAACAGAAAGACTGGGTAAATCCAAGGTGGTTGGGTGTAATTACTCCAAGTTCTAAGAAGCGAAAAGTGACGTGTTAGTTTGCGCAAAACCAATAATCCAAAAGTATCTTAAGATATTAGGTCTTAGGAAAATAACTACGTACCAGAGCACAGCGTTTGGTGGTCCGGTGTCAGGATTTCCCTAGCCATCCTCATGAATCCAGACAGCATTTAAAGCACTAAAGGACTTCGGTTTTGCTTACTAATGGGTGGATGGATTTAGGTATGATTTCATTTGGTTCCTCGCAATTAGATTCCAAATAGCAAAGGTGACCAAACAATCCATAGAAACGCCAATAGATCGCTTTGACCAATTGGTGTCCGTCAGTGATGCGCATTCCATCGGTCTTCAACCGGGGGTCGAATTCATGAATCATTTGGTTTTAGCCAGTCACACATACTCTCAGAAGGTACCAAAAGTTAAGTATAAGACAATCCTGAAAGCGGAACTTCACGTCATATGAAATACAACAGTACAACGTGCCGCTCAAAAAACTGTCCACTTTGAATTCATTCGCACTGTTAACACAAAGGTTTAAATTAAATTAAGTTAGCATTATACATATATATATATATATATATATATATATATATATATATATATATATATATATATATAAAGGTTTCGCGGCATGCTGTTCCGAATTTGCATGTCACTGTGGCCTCCACGGTGACAGCAAAGTACGCCTGCACCTACAGTATGACCATGGGTGGCTTGCGCTGCACCACCCACAGCTCCATCCATACACCCATGTTCAGTGTAAACCTGAATGAATAAGACCGGGAGGCATGTGAATTGGAACCAAGTGCCATCAACGGAGCAAACTCACATTCTTTCACATTCGAATCCAAGTACTCTGTATTTGGGAAATCAAGCGCACACAAGGCGGTGGCTGGACCGTAGTCCTCTCCACACTGATTGCATGCAACCACTCTTCGAGCCTAGGACGACCACAAGAACCGTGCACCCCGTCCCCCAACCCGAGTCACCTTTCAAAGTCTCCTGGAGTCATTAATCGAGTTGGACAGTGTTAAACCGGTAGGCACACAGTCAACATGCACATAAAGCGCAGCCACCAAGGGATGCAAAAAACAGCCAATCACTTGAAATGGCAATCTCAAAAATAGTTATCGAATAAAGCATATGGATATACAGATGTAACCCTTCGCTAAATGAGCATAGACAATAACTAAGTAATCCAAAATCCGCGAAAAGTTTGAGATACCGGCAAAAGATATTTTCTAACATGACAAAAACGTGACAAAGTTAACGAATTTAACCATAATCTACATAAGCCATATGTGTAAATAGAAATAAGGCAGCAATTTAAATGATTTTTGTGGGCTTTAGTTAAAAGTACGTGTTTTATCCTTCTTAGCATGTTACAATGCATGTGTCATACTGTACCATAATTCAACGGTTGTTTTCATTTTGGAAAAAAGCATTATCGGTTGATTGCCTACTCCGCCTTATTGCCTACTTTGGAACTATACCGAGGGTGGCCAATAAAGTGGATTCGGCAATATATATAATATATTTCTATGCACATAATAAAAATCTATATAACAGACATTAAACCTTCGAGAAACCACCGAATGTATGTATGAAACATGCACAAAGATCAAAATGATAATACGCAGTGAGACATTTGTCTGTTTTTCTCAGGCAATTTTGTCATTGTTTATCAGTTTAATGATGGCGGTTTGATATGTTCTATCAATGCAAGCTTTCCACTGTCTGCGGTTGCACGCTATCTCCTCAAGAGTCTCCAACCAGTGAAGTTCTTCATCTCTGACCCCACAGCCCGGAAGACATAAGGGGCCGACAACAGGTAGACTGAAACTCAGCGGTTTGACGTTTTGTCGTCATGTCGTATGTTGGCACCGCGCGATTTTTTCCATTTCGGCTCTGCGCCAACGAATAGTGTGCGCCCTAGTAAACGAACGAACGGCATGCGTAGAAGGTGACCTAGGTACCTCAGTTGGCGCAGTGGTGTTAGCTTGCCGAGAGGTAGGCCCGTAGTAGCAAAGGCGCGACGTCTAACATCGACGTTGCCTACGTGTTGTTCCCAACACACAGGCTATCTAGCACAGAGAACTGTAGTCAATGGCCGAATTCCGTCACCATACATTTACACGGATCGGCCAAGAATCACTTCCATATAACACGGCTGCGCGAACACAGCCATTGTAGACGCTACTCTTTGCCGAGAGGGAGACGTTACAATGACGCCAAAGATGCCTCGGATCAAAGAAAACTGCTGTAGCTTCGGCAATAAGCAGAGAAATACTTTTACCGATGGTGTCATCAGAATAAACGCAGCTCCCAAGGTAGATGAAGCTATCTACTTGGTTAAGCTGCGTGCCTTCAAGAATCAGTATGGGGGCGGATGGAAGCCAATCCTGGAGTCGGACCTTGCATTTCGATGGAGCGAAGGTCATGTCATACTTAGAAGCTTCGATCACCAAGCGGTTTAGTGACTTGCGTGATATGTGGGTCCGTAACGGGCTAGGCAAAACCATTCACATAGTCCAAGTAAGTCGCGTAGTTTGTTGGAAGAAGTTCCACGTCAGAACCTTGGAGAACTTTCAGAGCGCTTAATAAGACCTGCTCAATCGCAAAGTTGAAGAGAAACGGAGACATGGGGCATCCCCGTCGCACACCGCTAGTGACGGCGAATGGTGAAGAGAGCTTACCTCTACCAAAAACTTTGTTTTATAAAGCTCGAACTATGGCGGCACACGTTTCGGAAACCCCATTCCTTTGCAGACAGCAACATATAGAAGGTTGGTCGTCCGAGTCGAATGCAGCTCGGATGTCTAGAAAGGCGGCAACGTTAGGCTGGCGATGAAAGTGGTGCTGCTCGAGGAGGTAGCGGAGCATAAACGTGCGGTATACGCACACACGACCGGGGCGGAAACCAGCCGGTTTCCCACGGCGGTGCAGTTCTCGAATCGGTATTTGCCTGCGCATTAGAATGGATGTTAGGAATTTGGAGGTGACGGATATTAAATACACCTCTGTATTGATGCATGAGGTACGAGCACATTTTAGGAGGATGGGTACGAAAATCGGCTTGTCTCAAAAGGATGGAACTTTCACCTCACACCAGATCTTAGAAAACTGGGCTGTTAACTGATTAACAATTGCCTCGCCACCGTACTTAAATGGCTCCGGAGGAATTCCGTCTGCTCCAGTGGTTTTAAATGGATTATTTAATTGACGAAGTTCAAGACAGACCGCTTCAGTGGGCGGTTACAGTGCGACCTTCTAAGCCGTGCAAGTTGGCCTGCATGTTAAACAGGAAGGAGTCCAACTAAACTGAAAGTGGAATTGCTCAGCCCAGCGGTCCATACGCCTACACAAATTAGTGACTGGTGACTTATCAAGCTAGCAAAGATCTTCACTGACGTTAGGTCTTCTGTGATCACTCGTCCAAATGATCTGGAAAAGCTTCTGAAAATTTCCACAGAGGGTTGCTTTGTCCATCGTCGAAGCGAGCTGAGCCCACCAAGCTTCGTGATAAGCAGGGGACGAAAACTTAACTAAGATACTGGGGTTCTGCAGCCGCTATGGCTGGACAGACTCCAACTTAATCTGTGCCTTCTATACCGCTTACTATTCGGAGTAAGCTTCACTGCATAGTCACAACTCGGCTTTCAGACTCGTATGCGCTATGAACTAAGAAACAGCGAGCGCACATTGCGAATACAAAAGTTTCGCACCAAACTCCGCTCAAATGTTTTATCTGTAAAAGATGCGTTAATATGGAACAAATTTCCATCGTCTATTAGAAACTGCACTACATATCCGGCAATTCAGACGCATGATTAATATGCACCTGAATGTTGCAAATATCTGGTCAACACTTAGCCAAACGATGACTCTAGATGATTTGTATGAGTAAGATCCTGGATACACTTGAAATTCGCCATGTCCTCTACTTGTCTCAATATTATAATCTAAGCTATATAGAGTGAAATACTTGACTAGGGATGTATACACGAGGTTACTCCCATCACTCCGTCTAAGCCCCTCTGATTTCTCTTTTTATGCAGTGGTTTGAAAAAGCACTACGGCTTTCAAGCTGATGTCTCAGTATCATCGTCGTCACTCGCCAAGATTTTCCATCAAATTGTGCTTCGCCTACCGGCAGGTGATTTTATGCATTATTATGTTCCTTTAATTGCTCATATTTTATATTCTTCCTTGTTTCATTGTTGGCCGTGACTGGGCTCATCTCTTGTGGCGACGGAGTACAGCATTCAAACTAAAATATTATACCCATGCAAATCATATTGTTACCGACTCGCCGGCTTATAACGAAAGGAGGCATAATTGGTTGCTCCGCATGCAGGAACGGGCTGAGACTTCATCGCCCACAATGTATGCATAAACAGCCAATGTGAAAAGAACATTTGATACATAGCTGCTGGCCTATTTACTATTTTGCCACACCGGCACAGAGAGAGTTGAAAATTGGAAGTGCGAGTGAAACCTATCGATGGAATACCCTGCTTGGAAGCAGGTCCCCTGCAGACAGTTCCATGAATGGCCTTACTGTAGCGAAAACGATACGACAGGTGGGTAGACGTTTATTGCACACCGAAAATGGGCAAACACCGGGTCTCACGCGCGACATCGAATATCGACTAGACTTCCGTCCCACAACGCGACACAGGTACGGATGTTAGAGACGAGCCAGTCCTTTCGCCTCGGGAGCTCTGACTTGGAAGACCCGCCTTCCTGTTTTCGCCTCGATCTCCACTTCTCTGTACCCGATTTGGATCGGCCAGGAGTCGTTCGAGGGCGCCCGACTTGCTTGTTCTGGGCTGTGTCAATCGGCCCGGCCTCGGTCCTGTGGGCTGCGCTAGCGGCGTATATGTCTGATTTATTGCGCTGTCCACATATTCCCGCTCCGTAGTTCCGGGCCCAGGCTCGT